ACATACATACATGCATGCATACATACATGCATGCATACATACATACATACATGCATGCATACATACATACATACATACATACATACATACATACATACATACATACATACATACATACATACATACATACATACATACATGCATACATGCATACATACATACATACATACATACATACATACATACATGCATGCATGCATGCATGCATGCATGCATGCATGCATACATACATACATACATACATACATACATACATACATACATACATACATACATACATACATACATACATACATACATACATACATACATACATACATACATATGTGAATGACCGCGACGACGGCAAAAGTCAGCCGAGACTGTGCATATATTTGCTATCGCAATAAAAATGCGAAGGCTGGAAGAAAACCCCGACATGTGCGCGAGGCCTGCCGGTAGCAACCAGTGCCGTAAGGGACGCCAAGCAATGAAGAAACAAGGAGAAAAGCAAGGCGTGTCGGATCATTGCGATCAGTAGCGCATGGGCGATCGACTTCCATGGGCGTGCGTTTCAGGGTACACTCTTCATCCATGCGCTTCTCGAGCACTAGCAGCAGTAGCCTCAACAGCAGCAGCAATAGTTCGTAGGGCAGCAGCAGTAGCGACAGCAAACAGAAGACCAAGCAGGCCGGGTGAGCGCCATCGATTCGGCCTCCAGTCCGAAGGTCACGTGGTTCCTGACGGCCACTGACGAGCCGATGGGGTGCACCTCGTGGGAAGGGTAGAAGCCCGATGATCAAACCAAGAGCAAAAGAAGAAAAAAAAGAACGGTGGCAGAAAATCCAGCGTGGAGTCGGCGGTAAAGGTCAAAGGTCCTATTCTGCACCCCGTGGAGGAGACCATTGTTTCGTTTCTCTAGCTCCGTACTCTTTGCCTTTCCAACGCGGTATTTTTTTTTGTTTACCTCTGAATTGCTGTTTTGAGTTGCCGGGGTGGAAACGAGAGGGCTGTGAAAACTACCCGCGCGGTTACGCGAGGAGTCACCGTTATGGAGATAAGCGCGGGCCTGCTGCACGAAGCGATGGAATCCGGCACGTTGAAATTCCACACTTTGCGCCGTGGCGTTGCTTACCGCCTAAAAAAAAGAGGGGCTTAGCGGTTTCTTGATCGATAAATAAAAAAGGGCAAAACCTTCGCTCGTAAGATTTATTGCTGTGGTTTGCGTTTTCTGCCCGGCGAATGCAATCCCCGCCCCTGCCGTGTTTTTTTTTTATATACTGCGGGTTTGTACTTCGCCCCGCGCACACCTGTTAGATGCTATTGAGTGTATCAGGCAAGAAGAAACGAAAAAAAAAATATTAGCCCTGTAAGATAAATTTAAACAGTGTGGCCTCTTCAATCACCAGTTACAAAAAGATTATAGCCACCTGCTTCTTTGTGTGTGTGTGTGTGTGTGTGTGTGTGTGTGTGTGTGTGTGTGTGTGTGTGTGGTGTGTGTGCGTGTGTGTGCGTGTGTGTGTGTGTGTGTGTGTGTGTGTGTGTGTGTGTGTGTGTGTGTGTGTGTGTGTGTGTGTGTGTGTGTGTGTGTGTGTGTGTGTGTGTGTGTGTGTGTGTGTGTGTGTGTGTGTGTGTGTTTCATCGATTACTAATACAGATGACTGTTTCGCGAGTACACTGTATGCCTCGAAAGCTTAGAGTGTGCAATGAAATCATGATTAGGTTGATTTGGTTCATGATAGATTAGAACACCATTGTGCCTGGGGCGAAGTCAATGGAAACACACACATACGATAGCGTTTTTTCTTTAGTTTCTCTTTTATTCTTACGCACCTTCTCTATGTCTTAGTTGCGACGATGCTTTATAACACATCTTTTCTTCTCTCTTTTGTCTAAGAGTAACGGAGGGGGCTCTATTTTGAATTTCTTCACAAAGCATTCGCATAATAACTGTACACTGGTGTTCCTAACGACTTTTCTATGTTATACTTTCTTTGTAAAAAGACGTTCAAGCAAATTGTCATCTTGTAAGCACTATGCTCAGAATGGCCAGACATTGATAAAAGCTGTCCCTAGAGCCGGTGGTTAATCAAGCTTTTGTATTGGGCTTGTACATAGTTCTATAAACACTAAGACAGTGCCGCTTTAAATTTTTATCAGTGAATTTACGAATTCTCACAGAATTACTACGTATTTGCCGTCACGTTCTAAGCCCAAAAACGAGTGTAGAGCGAAGGTACGTTATCTTGTATAAGAGACATATTGCGCGGACCTCTGCGAACTTGTATAATCACTGCAGAATGTTGCACAATTTCAGAATTTGATAATCAAACTTGAAACATGGTCGTCAAAAATGCCATCTCACCCACGTTCATTCGATAATGAATTTGTGCAATCGTTAAGTCTTAGGTGCCCACCATGCCTGTCTAGTGGCTGAGGTACTCGGCTGCTGACCCGCAGTTCGCGGGATTGAATCCCGGCTGCGCGGCTGCATTTTCGATGGAAGCGAAAATGCTGTAGACACATTTGCTCAGATTTGGATGCACGTCAAAGAACCCCAGGTGGCCGAAATTTTCGGAGCCCTCCACTACGGCGTCTCTCATAACCATATGGCGGCTTTAGGACGTTAAATCCCACATATCAATCAATCAAGTCCTAGAAAAAAATTTGGGCTACAAAAGGCAACTCATGTCCAGACTTTATAAAGTAAGCTTAGGCTGCTTACGAAATCCACAGATCTCGCATTAAAGGTCAATCCCCAGAAGTGGTTCATTTGTGCCCATTTCAATACACGCAACGCATGACTTCCTTCGACAGATTGAGGTTTTACGGGTCGTTTCGTTGTTAGTTCAGTCGATAAAACGTTTCTAGTGAGTATGCGCAATATTCACAGCCGCCAGCACTCCTCCCCATGCAGACTCTTAAAGCACGAAAAACGCAGCTGGATCTAACGCGCAAGCGTGCATGCGAATGCATCCGTAACGAATTTCAAGCTCTCCCAGTGTCAAACGCTGTTCGGCGCTCGTCAATCTTGTACAGCTGCGGTGGACTTCATGTCGTTAAGGCTACTACTGCCCCAGGACCTACATAATGTATTCGATTTATCGATCGCCACGCCACGCGTTTAATTTCGCAAGCGGACGCACGCATTTCGAAATGCGAGAACGAACGACTGGTCGCAGTTCTGCGCTTTCAACGAACCAAGACCAGAAGGTCGTATATATTTGCTTTTGTTTCCTTCGCTTATGTAGTGGAGCAGTAGTGTATATGGTGCTCGAAGCGTCTCGATTTTCGAGCTCATACGTTTTGTGCTCTTTCTTTGTTGATTGCCTTAGTATAAAGCGGGCATTTCACGCATGGAGCAAGCTTTCTTATGTCTATTTTTATCTTCTTCTCATGCAAATGTTAGAAAACAAATTCACTCCAAACTGAGCTTCTCGCCATCTAGACGCATCAAATACGTTTTCCATTTGTCGTTTAGCTGTGACCACCGACACGGCGCGTCTATTTCTATGCTTGAACTATAGAGATGCGATATATTAAAGCACTGAAAGTCCCGATCGACCGTAGTGCACTTGCCGAAATTACCGTATCTGCAGCATTTCAGAACAGTTGCCGTTCCTGCTTAAACGTATAGTTGCTGGCTACGTTTCCTACTTCGCAGTGTTAATTCTCCCCGCCTCCATTTTTTTCTTTATTGAAACACAAAGGAAGAAGCTGTTGTAGCTGTTTCTTGGCATTGGATGCCCACCTCCACTCGTTTATTAGAATTGACTAAAATTAAGCATCACACCTGGCGGAACCACAGATATTCACGCTTCGTTTGTTACTCCTCCTAAAGAATGGTGAAAAGAAGTGATGATTTAGTGGTACGCTACGACAATTGCGAGGGCATTTTTGGCGGACACGATGAAGACATTTCTCCCAACGTTAATAGAAGTTCATTGAGTACCGTTGAACTTGCCCCGAGTGTTGCTCATTCTGAAACCAACGTGCGTACGTGTGTCGCAGAGAAAAGCTTTATGCTCGCACGCATTCTCCAAGCGTCGAGACATGAGCCGTGCATTTTCGATGGAAGCAAAACTGCTGTAGGCCCGTGTGCTCAGATTTGGTTGCACTGTAAATAACCTCAGGTGGTCGAAATTTTAGCAGATATCCACTATATGCTATCTCTCGTAATCGTATGGTGGTTTTCGGACGTTAAACCGTATACATAACAATCAATCAGTGATATATGACACGGCCAAGTAATTATATGTTACTCTGCTGCGACGCACGTGGTCAGAGATGTATTCAGAGCATGATCAAAACATTTCCTGTTGATAGCCTCTGCACTTGCAGCTCGGTCGCTTCTCACTGGCTTAACACTAATAAACATGGAGCTTTGCAGCGTTTCAATCTTGCATCAAGATCTCGTCATCTTGCATAGCGAAGCGTCGCAAATGCGTCTAATGCACGTATCCGCTGTTGATGCATATTAGCCATGGTAATACACACGCAAGCTACTTTTTATACTGCCGTGCTTGTGTTCCCCCTTTTACTTCGTTCTTTGCGACTGCGTAATAGCGAACGTCAGGAATTTTCTACCTTTGTCAATGCTTGTTCGTGCAAGTAGTTCGCTTTGCTGCATACTTAAACAAAAAACAGCGCAAGAAGTCGATGACGGAGGGAGACACACGTGAACGCTCACTCGCAACTGATTTTATCTTCAGTGGTGCGTGAAATACTGCACTACAGGAAATTATGCATCACCAGAAATAAAATTAACGGTGAGTGTCAGTGCTGATATGTCTCCCCCTCCGTCTTAGCGCTGTTTGTTGTTCAAGTACGCTTTCTTTGGCGGTACAGTCGTACGAGGCGTAAATCAGCTGTCACTTTCGTTGGCGCTGCGTGCTTTTTTGTTTTTTTTTTGTCTTGATTCTTTCCACGAGCCCGTGTTGCAAACATATTAGTCACAAAGTTCTCGAAACTCCGCAGTCAATCTCTTCTGTCTCTGTGTTCAGCTGCTACCCTTGGCCAGCGACTCCCGCCCCGCCGAGCCTGACCTCTCCTCCTCCCTCCAAGCCATCGGGGAAGAAGCCCCACATCCCTCGACGAGCCTCCTCCCGTAAGGCAGGGAGGGAGCCATGAGCGAGGCGAGCCCCCGGCGCGAGCCCGCGGTGGGCAGCTCGTCGTCGCTGACGTCATCGCCTGCTTCCAACGGTGCCAGCAGGCGGACGCCCGTCATCCGCCTGCACGGCGCGCCTACGCTCTCGCCGCGACCAGCGCCCAAGAAAGGTAACTGGACACCACACGGGTCACGTTCTTTTTCCTTTCCCTGCTTACGCGCTACATCCGCAGTTCCGCGAAGCACTATAGTTGCGAAACTCCTGGCAGAGCTAATCACTCTCTTCCATCCTTTTTTTTTTTCTGCGTCTTCATAATGGTCTTCCTCGTCCTCTCCACATGATGGCGCCTCCTTCGTCTTTTGGCTACGTTTCATTGTATGCACCATACACGACGCCACTGTTTTCTTCCTTTTCGTTATCTTTTTCGCAGGTCTCGCACTTTTCAAAGCGTAGGACTTAGATTCCTCGTCAAATGCGAGAATCGGCCGTTGGCATCGGTGTCGACACGTGTACTGCAAGACGTCATCACTCCGCGATGAAGTCGTCACACTACGTCATCGTGACGAAACATACTAGCAGAGCCTGTCACATCATCATGACGTCACGCGACAAGACATCGCATGACGGTGTCATCACGTGACATTGTCGCTTAATCGAACGTGGGGCAATCATGGAGGCCACGCAAATCCACTTCAGGGCAGAAAGCTTTTGTAAGAGCGCGGAAGAGTACCCCTAGTGAGAAGAAAACAAAGATGGTTTTCCCCTTAGAGTCTTCGTAGGCATAGAGCATCCTAATATTAACTAAAGGGGACTCTGGCGCTGCGATCTTTCAGCCACCATAGAAATGATGGGTAGTACACGAAGTTGCCTTGCCTTCGTGCTTGCGGCTTCAAACGTGCTTGTTGCTTTGCTCTGTTGTGTTTTGGTTTTGTTTCGAATAAATTAACGGGATGTTGTGAACTTCGGGACTCGAACTCAATCGGTGAGCCTAATAAGGTCAAGGTGGTGAAGCGCAACTGCTACACCTTTGCTGAACTTCGTCTAGCGGCAATGTGAATCCATGCACCATGGAGCCAAACAGAGCCGCAAGAACGAAGATTGGACAGATTTTTGTACTACCCATCATTGCCATGCTGGCTGAGGCACCGTGCGTTGCAGCTGCCACCGACACCAGCGCCAGAGTTTCTTCTAGTGTATTTATAGGAAACTCTATGGTCGTAGGCGAATCCATAAGGCGCCCCGTAAGTTTTGTTCCGCCAACGGACCCTTGCTCTGTCACTTCTTTCGAGCTTCTGTGTCAGTTTTTGTTTCTTTTACGAAAGGCCTTGCCGCAACAACCAATCTTCATGACCACTTCACGATGTTGCTCTTCCTACTTGCCTGGCCGTTCCGTCAATGTCTTCTCGTAAGCGCTCTTGACTCATGTAGTGCTTACAAGCAACATTGGGTGGTCCTACAACGAAAGCTCACACCAGGCGCTTTGTCTTCCGTGCTAACACCAATAAGTAAGAACCTTCGCTTCTCCAAAGAGCGCCTAGAGGGATGTTCAAGAGGCGCTGTCGTAAACAACGAACACGACGGCTGTCGCTCGAGGAACACTCGAAAACCAGGAAGCTTAAGGTTAGGATACGAAGAATACAGGTCGCGACACAAACGTACGCACGCACAACAGGCGTGTTTGCGGAGGCTGGCTAAGGGGCATCGCATCCCATAAATCCGTTCACCAATGTCCTTATAAATGACAAAGCGGAACATCTAGCGACACCTCCGATGGCTGGGTCAATATTAATGAAGATAAAATTTCTTCAGCTGCGGCAGTTATTTTCGCTCTGAATCGAACTCCGCTGAACTGTAGAACCCGTAGAAATATGAGACAGAACGAAGCACTTAGTTTTTTTTTTCTGTTTGTGAGAGTGTGTGTGTGTTCGAGCGTGCGTGTGTTATAACCAGATATCTTGCCAAAAGTGACTTATTAAGCTTACTGCAGTTCTTTTCCATTACACAGTACCACCATTGCGTGCCCTTCTTGCTTTGAAACGTTCGTGTAAAGGAATAATAGGCTATGAGAACCAGAATAATGAAATACGTAATGTAAACCATTGCTCCGTGTATGCGAATTGCCTCGAAGTATGGTTTGTAATATTCCATGTGTCTCGTTCAAGGTCTATGAGCGACACTTAAAAAGTTTCGCATATGTGGTCTCCTTTAATAACTCCGGCCCATTTTTTCACTCCATAAATCGGTAAATGTCAAAATTTTCATTTCAGTTTTTGAAATATCTCTTGTGCATTTCTACACACATAACCATTCCCTTGTACTTTAAAAATTATGATAAATCAGCAAAATACAGTCAGAAATATTTCAGCACAAAAAAAAAACAAGACAGTTACAAGAACGAGAGCGACAGGCCTAGCGATCGTCCGGTATCTCTAGTTCTTATTAATGTCTTGTTTTTGCACTCAAAATTTCTCATTAGTTGTATATATGTACCATACAGCCGAATTTCAAATTTTGCTACGTTATCTTCCCCTGCTCCTACATCTCCCCACGGTATTTTCATGCTTCAAAAAATTGACGCACGATCACTGATCAAAACATTACACACTCAATCGCGTCCCCAAACATCTGTTTTCTAAAGCAACCAACATCGCCGTTGCAAATGAGCGAACCGTGACAGTTTGTGTAACCAACATTCGCCTGGCGCCGCATTTAATTAGAACTACTCAGTGTCAAGCCATCCGCTGCAGACATCGTGTGTCAAAGCGCCGCCAAGTAATTACATCCGGGCACCGCGTGCATGCGCCCCGAATGCCCTTCCTCGTACACCTTGCTCGAAGAGGGGGAAGATGCATTGTTCAAGGAAACGGACCAAACTTCGGATTTTCGATACAGACTTTTACAACTGGTTTGCGGAGCGTATACGCTCGCTTCGCCTAACGCCAGCACCTGAGACGCCCGTCCGTCCTGTCCTGCCCATTACGCGAATCTTGAGTCCCTTCTTTGAACACGTCCGCTCTCGTTTCGCAATGCAGGTTTTTTTTTTCTGCAACTGTTCTTCTTCGACGCTCGTATTCCACGTTTTTTTTTTTTCCTCTCAGCACATTCCTGTCACATTTTCCGGACGCGAATGCGGCGGTGCCTTTCACTAGAGCTGTCAACGTCTCGAGTCTCACGTTAAGCAGTGGATTCCGGAAGGGTGATGGGATCTCGCGTGTATGAAAAGCTAAGGGCGTCAGCGAATACGAGTACGCAGCAGTAGTTAGAACAATCGCAGCTGTGTTACTGTTGTGTGCACTGCCGAGTTGCAGTGTGACGGCCGGACCTATATGCGAACCGGTAGGCAGGAATGAAGACTGTACGTTATTGTGCGCAGCGGTCGGTATTCACTGAAAACGACGTGGTTGCTCGTGGACAGACGCCGTCTTTTGTTTCAGTAACTTCGTGACTGCTGTCCTTTGCAGGCGTGTGAGGACACAGCTGTATTCTCAATAGAAAGGCTTTCTTTGGTATTTGTCTTTTTCGCTGTTCTTTAGGCGAAGCAGTTGCCACCGTTCAGTGCCGGGTGAACAAACGAGCCTGTTACAATACCATCCTTACCACGCACTATGGCCGGGTCATTTGGCATTATCTATCTATCTATCTATCTATCTATCTATCTATCTATCTATCTATCTATCTATCTAACTATCTATCTATCTATCTATCTATCTATCTATCTATCTATCTATCTATCTCTATCTCTCATTTTTCTTCTTCTGTGTGTGACAAGGGGTTTCAACTTTTTTTCTGTATATTTACCTGACAAAAATTCAGGCAGTATGCAATAAGTCAAGCTAATCATGGCACAGCAAACCGCGTGCCCACCGGCACTCGTACTCCCTGCCGACTGATTCGCCTAGCTTCAATATGCGCGGATTTGTGCTTGGCAGTACACACTGTCTTAGTAAAAAAAGAAATCAAGGGAAATACACGGAGGTTAGCCACCTCTCAGACCGGGCACTTCCTCAGGACGCCCCATGACTCTTTCGACACGATGAGGCACAGCCAGGGTTTACGCTATATAGCGGAGGTTGCGCGCAATGTCTTTGCCGGTAGGCGTTGTATAGCTACTGCGCATGCGTGGCTTGACCAGGCCATGAGATTGGGTATCTGGTCGCTTGATGACGCCATGCTTGCTTCCTGTATCTTGCTATCTTTTTATCTCTCTCTTTCTTTTTTCTTTCTGGTGCTTGCTCTGTCTTTATCTATCTGCATTTTTTCTCTCCATTTCTTTCTTTCTCAATCTTCATGTGCTATGCTTCACTCTCTCCCTCCTTTTCATAATCAAATCTCGTTTCCTCCCGTTCGGTTCTCTTTCTCACCTCCTTGCTACAGCTACACTACACTATGCAAAGCTATGCTGTGCCCCCGTGACGGAAGGGGACAAAATGGACGCAATGGCGTACATTTTGTCTCTTCCTTTTTCTTTCATTAACCTCTCCCTCTCCGCTTGCGTTCCTGGATAGCCCACTTTTTAGGAATCGTCTTCGAATCAAGTGAACGTGGGTTTGAGTCACGCCTTGTGGAAAAATCTTTTGGCAAAAAATTTTCTCTTTCTCGTTGTTTATATCTTTCTTTCCGTCTCTGCCTTTCTTTATCTCTCTCTCTCCTCTCTCTGTACTCGTTATCTCACCCATCAGGGTTACTACAGGTGGTGCGTTTGCCCCAATACAGTAGCACATTCCTCTTTGTGATCATTTTCGGGCATGGCCGCAAATTTCACGCCATGCTAAAACAGAACAGCCTTGCTGTTAAAAAAAACGCCAGGCCTGTGCGAAAGGCGCAGCACAATCACAGTGAATGCTATAATAGCGGCCTTTCGAAGCATTTTCTAAACACTCATTGGATAACTGCTGCAAGCGCACTTGCGCCTCATTCGACGCTACATTTCGTTCTATTAGAACTTACCCAGTTTTCTTGAAGGTTATATCACTCTGATTACGTAATCAACTTTCAAGAGTACATATAATGATGTTTCAGAGTATGGGCGCGTGCCGTACAACTGCAGCGCCGGGACCGCTTTGATGCCCCGGCGTGGGCGAGAGCGCCCCTAGCGGTTGCTCCTGTTTCTATATCAAACTTTCGCCGAAGCTTCATGAACAGGAAAAGTATTGAAGGACTCCGCTATTATGAAGCATCGAAAAAAAAAGCACTACAGGGCTATATCAGCTGATCTGAAAACGAACACACGGACAGCTGCGAGACGCTTCGCCTTTGTACTCGTTTGCTAACTGTGCGGCACGCTTTACAGGAAAAAGCAATGGGGATTGGTTAGCAACAACAAACACCATAAATGCAACATGCATTTCTGAAGTTAATGAGTCGGAGTGAGCTACAATTTTTGCCAATCCATAGCCATATATACTCCTCCTCAACGTTACTATCAGTCTAATCTGGCTTCACGTTTACAGTGACCTCTACTGACACATTTTTCAAAGCTGTAGCTTTAAAATGTCATTTCAAAATTGGGGGACCCTTAAGCTTCGCCTTTAAGAGTTGAACGCGATAGAGAAATCCGGCCCCTAGTGCGCGCTTCAACCGCTAAGTGCATACTTATTATGTTTTGTTACATATACACACAAGCACGCACACACACACGCACACAGTAGAATGTACCAGCGTACGCGCGCGAATGGTACATACAGGTTATTGATCTAAAGCAAGAGTCGTATGGCCTCCAAGATACACGCCACGCGCTTGCCATTCGGAGGCCATAAGGAGTCTGACAATTCCTCACAGATGGCAGCACATTATCTAGCGTTTGCTGTTTGCTTGATTAACTCCTCTGGAAAGGCATGATACGTTTTGCGCTATACGGACATTGTTGTTTATTTTTAGAGCTGTGTTAAAGTACCTATGTGTTTGTATCGGCGATGACTGCACTATCCCGGTCTTTTTCGACGTAGTTTGAGGCCTCCCAAGTGCGCCTACAAATCGCTGAATAGTCTCATTTTCGTCGTGACACCTGTTGAACATAATGCGTTAAAGGGGCCTTGAAACACTTTTTTAAGTAACCATAGAATTAATTCACTAAAAGAGCTTATTGCCTCACGAATTCAACGCTGCAAAAATTTTGAGAATCCGTCCAGTGCGAATAGAGTTGCAAAAACTTGTCGCATGCTGCAATTGCATTCTCTGTTCTCTCGTCCCGACGAAAGCGCTGGAAGCTAAGCAGGGAGAGGTGGCAGGGGCGAAGAAACTACATCAGCCGTGCCTCGTGACCTTGAGCACGTTTTCTCTTTTTTTCTTCGAATGCACCACTTTTTCAGTGTGGTCGCGCGCTGCGCGCGCGTGGACAAGTAGCTGGCCTCCTGCGGCCATCTCTGTAACGAGCTTTTTTGCTCACAACCAACGGGGCCGACGCTGACAGCGGAATTTCTGCGACACGAGCTCTCTAACGCTATCACGTCAATATTGGTAGATTAGAAGCATGAATTTTTGGGGTGGGTGCCTTGACCAATCTCATGCCCCGCAAACTCGTTCACGGGAAGTTCATCATAGAAATAGCTTCCCAGAGTCATCTCCTTCATGGAAAAGAGTCTACTCAATTGTGACCCCTGATAACTCGCATTGAAGACACGATGTTAAAGCGTCCAAGAAGAGCACCGATTGATGTTAAAGAGAATTGACACTATGGTCGAAAAACGCCAGGCCTGCGGGGAAGGAGCAGCACAGTCACAGCAAAGGCTAAAAGAACGGCCTTTCGGAGCCTTTTCTAAACTCTCATTATGTAACTGCTGCAAACACACTTGCTAGATGCCCTCTACGGCAATATTAATAAAAAAATAATAAAAAAATTTGGGCAGTAGGCCGGCATTTCGCTATGCTATTTTTCGTCATTCTTCTGAGAAGCGTGGTATCTAAACAATTGCAAGGAATTTTGTGCCAATTGTTTATGCAGTGGCTGACAACGATGAGGAATTATGGATGAAGTGGGTATGCACCACAGTTAATAGGTGAACAAGAACAAGCCTTTTTAATGGGTTGGAGAATTGGACGACTCACTCGTTACGCTATTCGCATTGTGCGACGAGTGGTTGTTGTTGCGCTGTTTTAAAACGCTTTATAAGTCGAATTGACGTGACTGCTTTCCCGACATCAAGCTTGCCTGAGGCAAGTTTGATAGCAGCTTCCAAGCACTGGCATGACTTAACTATAGAGCATTGTTTTATTCATTGTCGTGATGCTTTTTATTTTTGGGACATTCTAAAAAGAACGTTAGGAAAAGAACTTCCAATCACAGCCCATGGTATTAGGTTCCTTCCGTTCAAAAAAAGTCTGACTGATAGTACTCCTTATGACTTGTTTATGTTGTTGGGATTTTATTCATTATGGAAAAGTCGCATGATCGATAGACACGCCGAGCCACCACGGTCGACGAGATCTGTCTTCCGAGAAGCAGCTGCTCAAGTGCGCAGTGTTGTCGAGACTTTTGACCCCGTTCCGGAGTGGCTTCCTGTTCTTGACGCTTGTGTGTGTTTACCTGACTTCTGATGAAGTATGTTCTGTGTACTTTACTGGTGATAATGTCATTCATTAAAGAAAAAAAAAGCTTCCAAGCACTGGCATGGCTTAGTGGTAGAATACTGGGCTGGCACCCAGCGGACTCGAGTTCGAACCCCACTGTGTCAATAGTACTGGTTTTACAGACACCGGTGGCGGCGGACAACTACGGCGGCGCGTGACCCGAGTTGTGATGCCATTTCGCTGTAAAAAGAGATCAGGGCGTACAAACAGCTTCTGAAATTACGGGGTTGTAATTAAACGCTGAAAGCTGCTTTAACAACGCAGTGGCAACTGCGGAGTTTGCATAGTTAAATTAAGCGCGCTCAATTATTAGGTTCGGCCGCTTTCTTCTGGTGAGTGGTAGAAAGAGTGGATTTACTCCTGTCCCGTCCCACACTCCGTCAATGATGGTGGTGCCTCGAGGCTCTGGGGACGTCTCAAATGACCCGGGCGGCATCTTGGGCTTGTCAGACAGCCCAAAGTTGATCCCAGAAATATACCACATTTTCTAAAATAAGGAAAATGGCATTAGAGCCGGGCATTTGGGGATGCAGTCGCAATGGAACCCGTTTTTTTTTTTTTTTGAACATCTATGCTTATTTTGACTTTCCTCTTCTGGATTACTACACGCAGCATAATATCCAATACGTTTGATGGCACAGAATTCGTAGTGCATTAGCTGGTCCAATTAGTAATTGTCCATTGTGAAACAGCGCCAAAAAAAAACAGAACACCAGTGATGAGAAAGAGACACAAATAAGTGCTGACTAAGCACTGAAGCTTTCATACAAAGATATAGGGCGGCGTAAAGAAAAAGTTTAAACAGAGAAAAAACACAAAGACTGCATAAAATATCCGAAGAAGAATTGAACGGTGTTCAAAGATACGGAGCAGAATGGAGTAGCTCAGTCCGCGGTGTGAACCCTGAGCTACAACGTTGGTCTGAGGCAGCCGTGTCGCTGACGTCGCAGGTGGACGTCGTGCGTCCGAGTTCTGCTTCCGCGAGCCGCCCGAGTACGTGCACCTGGCCCCGCCGCGGTCCACCGTGTCCACTCCCCCGCCGGGCCGCAAGCGGTCCGCGTCGCTGCCGCACGTGCGCAGCCCGTCGCCCGTGCCGCCGCCGCTGGCGAGAGCCGCACGGGCTCACCATGCGGCACAGCAGCAAGCCAGGCAGCCCCGCGGCGGAGACGAGGAGGACGACGAAGACGACGACGACGACGACGACCAGGAGGAAGAGGACGAAGAGGCCGACCGACGGGACACGCCCCCGCCGCCCATGGCCGCATGCCCGGAGGAAGACGTGGGTGCAGAGGCACGTCAGCAGCACCGCAGCCGGCTGCTAGGAGCGGCCACGGCTGACAGGAGGTAAAGTCGATTGATTGATTGATTGATTGATTGATTGATTGATTGATTGATTGATTGATTGATTGATTGATTGATTGATTGATACAATGGCTCTTACATAAAACCGGTACTCCCTTTTAATAATGACAGAGGTGATGATACCTGCAGTAACGTTGCTTGCTCGCGTTCGTTCATACTGTTGGAGGAAAAAAGAACCAGTGAAAATATAAACTGAAAGAAACGTATTGATGAAGAACAAGACGACAGTACAAGCAGCAGAAATAAATGAATACTGATTGGAAATGAATTTGTTGTGTGGGATAATCCAGGTATCAGGAAGTAGTAGAATAAATTGTAAAATAATAACAAATAACATAAAATATTATGAAAGGGCATAGGAAAATCTATGTAAGCATCAGTAGTAGCTTTTTCGAAAAAAAAAACTGTATATGCTGCTGTTTCTTTCAATGGGCATGTGGTTTTATGTGAATAATAATATTATTATTTATTGTGTCTTACAAGCGTTCATCAAATCTATATGATAGTGCCATTTGTGATAAATGTGACACTGGCCATCAAGTGTTATAACACTAGATGCACTTCAACTGTCCAAATTATCACGGCGAATGTAAGCATGCTCTTAAGTCATATAGCTTGCGTTTGTGGCTTATCATGATTTCAGAGGAATTAAGTCATTTCAAAACTATTGTTATAATAGTCCAGAGCTTGCAAAAATTATTTTGAAGAGTCATTCATTGTTACCAATACCTTGTTCATCAGCACACTACTATTACATGTCACAGTCTAGCAAGTTCACCTTCCTTCGCGCTTCGTCGCGTTTCTTTTGACGTTTTTGCAATGGATCATCAGAATGTTACTGAGACACACAAAGAAAGAGATAAGAGTTTTCTTCGTACTTTTATACCCAAGTGAGTTAATTTATGCGTGTATACCACGCTAGATATAGTTAATCAACCAGGCACAAAAAATAACACCTTTACAATAACAGTGTGTTGGGAAGCCATCAGCTGTGCTCTTGGTCCATTGTGATGATCAGTGTAGTTAAACACTGCAGTTGCCACTCTTTCATTGACGATGATTCTGCAAGAAGAAACTACGTAGTCGTGATGCCTATACATATGTGGAAAACAATGCGTGTTGAGATTCCCCGTAAAATGTCTTTGTAAGCCATCTGACACGAAGCTCTCGATGATGGACGCAGGAAGTCGACACCCTGCCAGCCGAAATTCATGCAGTGCCGAAGAGGACGACCTTCGTTGGACCTTACCGCCGCACAGGCATCCGGCCACATAACGCTAGGTAGCCACTTGGGTAAGTCAGCTACACTTACTCGCTCGCTCACTCACTCACTCACTCACTCACTCACTCACTCACTCACTTACTCACTCAAACTTTTACGAAAGATGAGAACGTTAACGACGTCAAACGGAAATAGAAAAGAGGAAAAAAATTGAAGTTTATCAGATGGAAATAAAGGTATTGACAGAACAGTAAGTACGGTTTGATAAAACTGCAACTGTGTAGAGTTAACTTAATTACGAAGAAACTGAGCAATGAGAGATGATAAAGAGCGGGTTATTTTTTTTTTTTTTTGCGTGCACACGACGAAAAAATAACTGCGCACACGTATAGCAGGTATTTGTAAAGCTGGTTTTGCCGTTATATGCGTAATTGTGAGGAGAAGCCAACTGTTGCACGCTCTTTCAGTTTTAGCATGTCTTGAATGGTTCTTCCAACGAACATTATTAAGGCGAAAGCCTTAGATCCCTTGCCAAAGGCGTTTATGGCGCATAAATGTGACCGGCGGGGTCCTGCGGGGGCGTCGGCGTCAACACAAGTGATGCGAAACAAGTCGTCAAGTGGTGGCGTCACCATACGACGTCGTCATGACGTGAGTGATCTTGTGACGTCACTGTGACGTTGAATGTAGTGCGTTGTTGCCATCGCATCGCATTGTTGCTTGGTCAAAAGTGGGCCGATTTTTGGGGGCTGTTCAAAACGAGTTGACGTGCAGAAAGTTTTCGGAACCAATACATCGAAATAAAAAGAAAAAGAAAATTACTCTTAGGCGAATTCAAAACGAACACTGAGAATTTCGGAATCAATCTGCACATGAAAACCACATTTCTTCAAGTGTGTACACATACATGTGCAACTTATACTGCTGTGATTACAACAATATGCGTCGCAGTAAGTTAAAAAAATAATTTATTAATTCATGCCTCATGCATCGTGACTGAGCCTTGGCTCTGAGGCCAGTACTTGCACATTCTAAAATGATTGCCGCGTGTCTAGTTAGACTCTAGAATTTTCTTTAATTAGTTTTTATACATACATTCTGAACATGGCTAATTAGTCTCAGCCAGGCATTATAGAGGTAAGAACATTACTGTAGATTACATCGACTCTTCTAGATGCCGTCGCTGACCATAAGCCGCTGTGACATCTTTTGCTGGCTTGCCAGCATTCCATTCCTGACAACATCAACCTTTTGTTGGTTACAGGTACGGAAGTTTGAGTCCAACTTGGAAGTGAAAACTTTTGTAAAAGACGGTGCATATATACGAAGATTGCAAATAATGAAAGAAGTCGTTCACCTTTCAACCTCATTGTCTTTGGGTTTGAGTATCGACCTTATTGAGATCAAAATTCTTTATGAGAACAAACAGTGTGGAAAGATTTCCAGAAGTATGCTATACATAAAAAAAAGAGCCGGTGGTCGTAACTTCGACCGTCTGTTTCTCTGGGTGCATCTAAATGTATTTTTTGTTATATGATATTTAAGAGATGTTGACGCTTTTTATAGCGCTGGCTAATAAAAAATAAAAAAATTATAGAATATTTTTTTAAATTTCGCGATACATCTGCCAGCCATGACCAAAAAAATCAAGAAGTGCACCAAGGCAGAGTTCGAATAGGTCAATTTGCATAACATGAAGAAATATAATCTTATTCATTTGAAGAAAGTTTAAATAGGTTCCAAATTTTAAAAAAATTTCCAGCGTGAGAGCTTTTATATGACCCTGTCGAGACATGCATTCTTAGCGCGTAACGCTTTGAGGGCTCTAATTGCCCTATGTGTTCCGCTTTTGACTATCCTATAGGGCCACTTACATGTGCGCGTCAGCACATCTATTGTTCTTTCCTTTCTGTTTTTTTTATCCGTCGTTCCTCTCGTTATTTTATTCCCCTTGCCCATTCTTCCAGCGTAGGGTAGCCAACTGTATATGTTTCTAGTTGTCCTCCCTGCCTGTCTCCTCCCTAGCATTTTTTTTCTTCCTTCCTTAATTGTTATGTCAGTTAATGTACGTCTTCAAAGAATAGTGTATGATTACGTGTGTTGGTATGCCATAATTAAGAATTCCTAACAGCGCAAAAGGCAGGATAGATGAGAAGACGCACAGCGCTTTACAAGTGCTCCCGTCACGTCTTTTGCGCCGTTAAGTGTTCGTTGTTCTTCGTCGCTCGCTGGCATCTGCGAATTCCGTGCGTGCCCCCTCACACTTTCCCAGCAGCCGAAGCGGGGCTTTTATCCAATGCGTGTCGCTGCTTTCCTCCCGGTCGCAGAATCCGAGATCGCGCGTCGCCGCCACTCGGTGGCCGCGGCGGGCGCGGACAAGCCAGCGGTGACCTCGTCCGACCGGGGCCTCGCGCAGCCGGCGGCGACGACCAAGAACCGCGCCGACGCCCTGGCCGACGAAGCGGCACGGGCCTCGTGGCTCCGCGAGGCTGATTCCAGCGACGACGACGACGACTTTGACCTGGGTCCGCGCACGGTGACGCCCAACTCGTCGCCCGTCATGCCGACCGCCTCCTCGCTGGCCGGCGCCAGGAGGCCCGTGTCCTAAGCCGGCGGCGACGTAGGCCTAACTGGTGTTTGTTTCCTGGCCGTACGCGGCTTTCATTTTGGATGGCTCACTGCGGTGGACCGCAACAAATGTTGCCGCTCCGAATTACAGCGCCCAAGCGGCGCTGAAGCGATTGTCGGTGAACATTAGAGCTCTGTTCACGCTTTTTTTTTCTCCCAAACAAGACGAAGAGTCCGCGCACATTCAAGCTCGACGTCTGTGGTTCACCTTTGCGTAGGTTTCTTTTGGGAAGACAGATAGGACAGCAGGCTACAGCTGTCGCTTTAAAAGAGTGCCCATTGACCGAACGTAAATCCGTGTTTTTTTTTTTTTAGTGACGCCATGATTTGTGCGTTCTTCTCCTAGCGGAAGTGTCGCGAAGATCTGTGGTATAGGGTCCCGATATCTCGAATCACCCAGTGAAGTTCCGCTCTCCGACCAAAACAGCAGCGGGTAGCACAGGAAAACGAAAAAGGCGTATTGAGGAATGTTCTCGCCACTTTTCTTAAAACACGTGTGACACTAGCAAATAAATTACGGCATGTTCTGCTTATGCGTGAGAAATTTGTTTCGGTAATTCTCACAATTGGCGTTCTTAACTGAAGTCTTTCGTTTTCCTGTCTCCTTCGATAACGGAGGGTGGTGACCAGTTTCTGCGGAGCGTATACAGCGCACGAGTGCCTAATTGCGGTACGAGCGTCCGCAATCGATGCTCTAGCCGAAAGTAGAGTTGTCGAGCATCTGTTAATAAAAGAAGCAGAGCAATTTCCATCCCAACGCGAAGGGAACAATATGAATCCTGTTCATTTGAACCGGAATATTAAAAAGGAAGATTTAAGCGGAGAGCTATATCGCTCTCAGCTCAACCTTGAACATGATTGCAGGAAAACTCCGCCGCAACGAGAGCTTCTGGTCGCCTTTGAATATGCTCATGTTTGACACTTGAAGATATTTGTTAGGTGAAGGGGTTCCTTGACCTGTACTTGTTACTGAGATCGACCGTTAGTTCTCCCCGAAAAACGCGTTTCAGCGCCTCTTTCAGGCATGAGAAGACTGTTTTACGCTTCTGAGAGGCTGCGAGTGTGACGAGGAAATTTTGGCGCAAGGAAGAAGAAGCACAGTAAAGTGAACGAATGACACAATAGTATGCCATGCCTAGTGCTCATGAATGCTAGCAGCGGTGACTGTGCAGATATAGCTAAGAGTGCCGTCGCAGGAAGCACGTGGTGTTGATACTGGTGATGTATGTACCGAGGGGCTTCATTAGTGAAAGTCACAGAGTCGTTTTTATTGCTTCTACTGGTGGCCCATTCGAAGCGATTGTCAGCAAAAGTATAGCGAAGCGTGTGAATATCACCTAATAGATTGTTCCGATGACGAACTGCATAACAAAAAAAGATGAAAGAGAGTCTTGTAGTAAACGTCTAATAAGCAGCAGTTCTCACACTTACTGTTTTTTTTTTTCTTCATGCCACGGTGTGGCTGTTTTCATCATAAACATAGTAGCATGGCAAGAAACGTAGATGTTTCCTAACCCGTGACACTTTTTATTTACCACGTTGCAATTATGTGGATAACCTTTACCTATAGACAACTATGTAACGATTAAAACGATGCCACTCGCATAATCTCTAGACGCATCTGGTTTGTTATAGTCATTACTTCACATTTCGTGATGCATGAAACCAGTGTTTCTTTACAAATGGCATAACCATTTGTAAAGTGTACACAGTAAACGTGCATAAGCGCGCCCTATTTTCCCTTCTTTGTTCTTTTTTTTGATGTCACTGTCATCGCCAAACACGCTGCTTGTGAAACAGAGTAACGAATGTATACACTATTATTATCCTCGTTATTGGTGCGATCCATTGTTAACAAGCCTATTTACTCACGAGTGCCATCATGATAAACGTACGTCATTGACTGACAAGGGCGCTGTTCGCGCCGTCTGTAAGCAGTTGTACTTATAATTGTATAGTGTTAAACCTCCTCGCATTGGTGTGCTGAACTCGTTCTCTGCACAGTGATATGTTGTGTGATCCCGTTGTGATATCGCAGTAGTGACCGCGTTGCTGTCGTGCACTTATATATCGTCGTGTAACCGTAAAAGCACGTTTCGTTTGTTGTTGTACAGTGCGCTGAAGTTACGTAAAAAAGAAGGGCAAAATGTTATCCGCAGCACACATTGTCCGAGCTTATTACACGATCGTGAAGCTTTTATTATTAGTTAAGAATGGGTATAGTGGGTGGTAAGTCTGCACATGTGTGTATTTCGCAGTTATTTTTACAACAAAATGGCGCATTTTATGCTATTTCGCGTTACCTTTGATCTCGGGGAATGCAATTAAAGAACTCTGAAAGCCGGTATTAATGTACAAATTAAATCCTTGAGGCCTCCAAACAAACATATGTCGGTTTTTCCACGCGTTTCCGTGAATCTGCTGTTTCTACTTGAAACTTCTAAAATTAATAACTTCGGCTGGCGTTGATTCTTGACATTATTCTTTCTATACAGTTTACAACAAGCATGGCAAAAACATGTAGAGGCGAACAATCCCGAAAATACAGAGACAAGTAAGCTTTAACACCGATGTACTTATTATCATTGATTCTTATGCGCACGGGGTTCTATAGGGTTCTGTGTCATAATTTTCATCGAGACTTAAAAGTAGTACAAGACAGCAATGAGCACTTTTTCAGAGCTTTCTGCTCAAGTACAAGTATATATTTATAGGTAATATTATACACGCGCAGTACACTACGTGCAACACAAAGTCTGGCGTTAGACAAGTGCAGCTATTTTCATTGCGATGAACATCCGAGCACCTTGTCTTCTGTTCTAAAGAAACGGCACCGCGAGGTCTCCTGTGCTGTTTTTATTTTTTTATTTTTTCAATTATTGAATTCCCTGTGACGCGACGTGCAATGTAACGCACTAATTTCGGATAACGCCCCAAATACGTCATAAGCAGCAAGTACACTTCACCGGAGTGGTAACTCTAGCAGGAAGCTTGAGTCCGAAAGAGCCTTCCTTAAAATTTACAAAGAAATAAAATGATAACCATGCTACGCTATAAGATGCAATTTTTCATACTTGTTCTCTCACAAAGTCTATACGCGTTTTCGTGTTTTTTTATTGTTATTCGAATACACTAGCGTTGTGTTCTGTATCTAAAAGAAAGTACAGATAGGGAGAGACCACCCTATTCACTTGCTTTTGGTCATCCTACACCGCAACACTGCCTATTAAGAGATCGTCCGCATGAGAACGATCTTCGACAAAATGTAGTTTGAATGATTTGCGTTCAATATTGGCCGAAACAAGTCTCGCTTCTAGGGGGTGCGTGAATATTCATAAACGTCTGAATATCGCATATAACAGCGTCATACTAGACTCTTTGAATCACAAAGCCACCATTTATAAACACGGATACTTTTGGACCGTTCAAGCGTAATTTGGGGAAAATCTACTTCAAAAAGTCGGCTGCACCAAAATAAACATGAAAACTTTTGCAAAAGCCCGAAGTTTATCTCTACGGGTGTGGCATTAGCGTAAAGCGTGTCATCTTACGGAGCACAGCTGGTCGGTCAGAGTTTACCGGCTGTGCAAACATTATTCACTAACACCGAAGAGTTATTTGCATACACAAAAAAAAACGGCTCGTTTTATTTCTGCATCGTAATTTGATCTTCTAGTGCTGTAACTTTTGTCATTATAGGAATAGAACATCAGTTTATGTTAATAAAAAACGGTCGTTGAATATTGCAAAAAAACATTTGAAGATATTCTCGGTTGGACTCAATTCGCTTTGCTTCGGTCCCTGTTCGATTCGCATTCGAATTCGTTATCAAGCATCGCTATTCGCACGCCCCCTACAATCACTTTCGACCTAAATGCATGCAAAGCTTCTTCGGTTTGAATTTATTCAAATTTGCAGCGGGATACTTGGCCGCCCTAACCTTCACGTTAACCTTAAGCTATCGATGGTCTCCATCGTTTGACGATAGTTCACATACGGGTTCTAACTCCTGACCCCTGTACATAATTGCCACCCACTTATGAGATGTGCTTATTGTTAGTGCCCCGGAAAGCTTCCGTAAAGTAGCGTGTTCGAATTTTCGAACTCACACGCCGTCTTTGTGTACACCACCTATCTTTGCGATCCTTCACAGGATCTCTTGTCGGCAAGCAAGGTTCTCTGGCAAGCGCCGTAGATGTGGTCACTTGCACAAGGCCCATACACAGCGTCGTTTGCCACGACTCTCGAGTAGTGCTCATGTCGTTCGAAAATATTCCTTCGCTTACTAATGATAAGGCCTGCGTGTCGCTTGTTCGTTCTATTGTCCCCGCGTGTGAAACTCCACGATGTGCACTGCCTGTGTTTCTATGAGCGCATAAGTTTTCCCCAAGACTATAGCGATAGCCACTGTGTGCTCTGTAGCATAGAAAAGCGAGCGTGAAATGAAAGTGGCAATGCCAGAATGAAAGTAAAAGGAAACGTGCACTACCGTGTCACATACGTTCGTTCTGAAGCACTGCGCCTATTTTGTGCCCACGGCCATTGCGTCACCATCGAGTTACATAATATGCAGACGCTGCGTCACAGTCTACCGCAGTGGTTTTCAGTCATAGATGTTTCAGCGACCACTCGTACACCGATGAAACTAAAGGGGATTCTTCTCAGTGGAAAAAAAAAGTGGAACTGGGGGAGGGTGAAATAGATGCCTTATATCTATTGGCACAGATGCCTTATATCTATTGGTATATATTGCATTATATCTACCTGGCACAGAATGGTCAAACAAAAGTGACACGCCAATTCGATTTCACCAGCTTGCCAATAAGTTGTGTGGTCTACAGCCACCTTCAAGCTGTGTATCTCTATGTTTTTTTTAATTATTCAAGCCTTGTAAAAACATTATCACAAGCATACGTCGCGTAAAAACTTCAAGAAAACCTTGACAAACAACTCAGAAAGGAGAAGCGTAAGTTAGCTTTGCTGCAACGTAATTATGCTATGCCGTCAAGCAGACCAAACTCTGAAGTACCCACTGTGACGGGACGTATCGTGGTTCAAAAAACACGTTTTCTTGCTT